AGAATGCAAAGAGAGTGCCCACCCCCCCGATGCTGTGTGCTAGTCGCTGTTGTACCCAATCACAAAGAAGACCATATCAGGATGATTTTGGGTTACAAAGAACAAGGTGTACCCCCTTTGGGGGCAGTTGGCTATTGATCCCGGAAGCTCGGTTGGACCAGTAGTTTACTATAGTATACGGACATTAGACTAGAAGGTACTGAGCGGAGATCGGAACGGTTTTTAACGTCAAGACAACAACCACAACAATGGTATGCATACGGGTTGGCAGACATGCCACCCCCCATTGTTGCTGTCTACCTACCTTGACCGTGAAGGGAAGAAGGTCATCCTCGTTGTGCCCTCCGCAGATGCCCGTGATGCATGTGGGCATGTCGCCCGAGCCGGGAACGACGTCGTCCCAGTTGCAAACGGTGCCCGTTTCCCCCACGACGGAAGTGTGGGTGTAGCCCCAGGTCTCGTCGAAGTCCCACCTGGGCCAAAATTTGAAAGCGTGCGAACGCGAAATAATCGACGAGCCGTGAGAGCGGCTGCACAAACAGACCCCGCGGGGTGGTAAAGGGTGATAATAGATACTTCGAAGTATGATACGAACTGCATTGCGTACCATGTAGGGAGTGGACTAAAAAGCTATGCCTGTGTGTTCCCACACACCATCACAGAAAAGGTTTAACGTTCTCGTCCCGACGAAACCCCGACTGCGCCAAACGGGACCGGGTAAGAGGAACGCTCAATCCTTCGCTAATCAAGCCGCTGGCAAAGAGAAGGAAAGTAGATATTGGACGGAAGAGGTGAAAGTCCGAAGCGGCTTAAAATACTTGAGTGAGAGAGTCAATGTCGAAGAAAGTCAACCATGGGTGTTAGCCTGTGGAGAGTTTTCTTGTAACCGCAAGCGGGCCCCCGTGAAAGCCTAGGCCTCCATAAGCGCCACCTCGCCATGATGGAAACGACAACGGAGTGCGATTGGTACGGCAGTACTCGGTGCTCCAAGAGCGGCTGAATCCCTGAGGCACTCCCAAAAAATCTAACATCACGCCGCTGGAATACGGGTGGTGGGTGTACGACACAGAGCACGTTTTCAAACCAGGGAGTCGTGTGAGTGCTTCCTACCCTTCCACTCCTTGACGGCCCAGCATCCGTCTCCAGGCGAGCAGTCGGTCGGCCGTCGGGTGCACCACCCAGAACACGGGGTCGTACGGTGCCGCAGATGTGAACATCTCCCCGACGGCTCTGGCGGGAAAAGGAGCAACAACGGGCAAATTTTTCGGAGCGTACTTCAACGAACAGAAAAAAATCCAGATTATTTTCAGATTGCAGCATGATCTATACTCTGGAGTACATAGCAATGACTCGCCCACAGTTCATTACATAGCGATGCACCGGAGTATTGACGGGGTGAAATATGTAGGAGAAACTGCTCTACAAGCACTGTTCGTTTCCTCCGATCATCCACTCGTTCCAAGCAATGTTCCTGCTGCCCCCTCGGGCCTACCGTACCTCCTGCATCACGGAACAAGTCACAGCGGGTTTCTTTCTCCACACACTGCAAAACGTCCAACAAATGCGTTCGACTGGGGTACAGTAACGTGTCCAACGGGTAAAATAGTGCTTACGCATGGGGGCAATTTTCTTTGCGGCATTTCTTGGAAGAATTTCCCTCTCTCCCAACGAAAGGAACACAGCATTATCGCCTTTGTTTTTGGAGGCCGCGGAGGTTCCGTTGAACGCCCCGCGGAGTTTTTGGAGTCTTGTCAGACCGGGAGACGCAGTACACACGACAAGCGTACCCTGGGTTACAGAAGGAGTTGAGCATTTTCTTGAAATACGCCCGCTGGAAGGGCTCGTCATCCTCGTGCCCCTTCACCTCGAACTTGTCTTTCCTCGAGCTGTACACCTGTGTTTGTACCACGAAGAAAAAGCCAATGTTAATGTTGCCGCGCAGTCAGTCTACATAGTTTTGTATAGGGTTTGCAGTCGCTGTTAACCGGCGGGAATCACGATTAGTAGTGCGGTGCCAACGAGACGACACATCTGTCATCCAAGAGGGCCGAAAAACGTGCGTGTGATACAGGTGCACGGGTCGGCAAATTCATATACGTAGGCCTAGAATATGCTCGTGAAAGCACTCTGCTATTCTTGAAAAATGGGACCGTGTTTGACTGACTCACGCCGTACGTTTGATCTGCGGAAGTGAACTTGGGATCTCACCAGCGAAGATGACGTATGTGACGTCCACATGAGGGCGTGCACGTCCATCAGGACGTCGTAAGGCGTCATCCCTCTCGACTCGTACAGCTCGGAGGGGCAGGAGGTCTGGCAAGACTCTCCAATCTCGCACTTGTCAGGGATCGACAGGTAGCCCTTGCGCCAGAGGAACTTGGTGACAAGCGGCACCGACTCGTAGTACCCTGGGCAACGGCAACGAAATGAAAGTGCGCGGAGGGTGGCTCGTTAGGATGATCGCCTGGATACTTACAATCGACCCGTTTCAAGGCAAAACTCGTCCCTGTACTACTCCTGATAGGAGTCCTCTAAAACGATCGGTCGTTCCATGTCATGCCTCGCCGCCGTATTAACTCTGCGACGATGAAGTTGATTGATCACCCGCCGACATATTAGGAAACATTAATACAAACACAGAAATACTTCGAGATAAGACCACAGTCGAACGGGATGTGTTGAAGTTTTCACAGCGAATGGACATATAATGAGGACGGCGGGTCGGAGCGCGCGGGCGGCGGAAGTGTCGCGGGACGGGTCACAGGCTTCCCTTGCGAAATTGAGGACAGATAAAACCATCGCAGCGGACTAAGCGGGAGCGACAACCTGGGTATGGGGGGGGGGGGGAGAGAAGCTGCCAAGCAAGACCGTCGACATCAGAAAACAAGTAATCAATGATTGAATGAAACCCGGACGCATATTCATATTGGTAGCCTTTGGACGTGTTCTTGAGTGGGCGAAGCGAGAACGCGCGAAGTGAGCACCAACAAACAACCCGTCCCTTCGTCCGAAAGCAGGTTCGGTTCAATAGTTGAGCCAACTCGAGTAACACGTGTAGGCGATCTTGCTCTAGACGAATATTAAAAACCTCAACATGTGCATGCTCAACATGTGCGGAGTTCCCAAGTGCGCCGTATCGCGGGGCTGTCGCGTTTGGTGATGGCATTCGTTGTCCTATCGCGTGCAACATGGGAGCTGAATTCGGTGGGGCGACTTGTGTCTCCTAAGATTTTCAACCTCGTCTCTACCGAAGTTTGCTCTTGCGGGCGTAAGCCAATGGGCATGCAGGCTCTTGGGGCCCTTCGTTTCAGGTGAACAGCTGCACGCATAAAAACAAGTTTCGCGTAATGTGTGGGGGTGGTATCCTCACCGACTTTCTGGATGAAATCTTCTTCCGCCGCGTGCCACTCGCCCCCGGTCAGGATGTGCACGGGCCCGTGGGTTTCTCCGTTGAGACAGGCATTCATGACCGAGAGGCTAGAGGAGGCGAAGCAGCTCGAGTATACGCTGCAGCTCACCATGTCGGTGGCCGTCTGGTGACGAACAGAAAGTGGGCGAAAAAAAAAAGATGAGCAGGAGTCCACCAACGCGGGTGAATGCTTCTCACGTGTGACGGGTCGTTGTAACAAAAGATAACAATGTCGTTGGAAGGAAGGCGTGCGCGCTGCCTGCAGACTGTCTTGATCCGGGTGGTAGCTCGAAAATGCCTAAGTTGTTCCAAGCTTGAGCGCGGCCAAGTCCCCGTCCTTCCACGACTACTACTGACGGCTATCGCTCAACAAAGCGATGTCGTGACAGCTCGACGTTGACGGTGAAGACGGAGGGCTTATTTGTAGGCGGAAGTGGCCGACTACTCTGAAAGTATCCACGGCTGTCTCGACAGGTTGCTAACGTCAGAGCACAAGCAGCAACAAAAACGTACGAAGTTGCCGTCCTTCGGCTCGCAACAGAAAAGGAACACTGCCACGCACGTCGAGAGTATCGTCTAGGCATGTCATACACACGTACTTGCACAGGGACAGGGGATGCGAGTACAATACAGCAGGCAAACACACGTCGAGAGTATCGTCTAGGCATGCATGTCAACACACGCAGTTAGTTAGTTGCACTGGGACAGGGGATGCGAGTACAATACATACAGCATCAGGCAAAGCTGATGCCCTGTTTTGTTAACCAGCTCAATGAGGCAACTACGTCACCACCACTCGCTCATTTCCCGAGCACAAAGGCCGTACTATTGGAACGCCTAGACCCCCAATAACCGTTTGGCCGAAGCTATGTTTGGCACCTCCGGGTTGAGAAAAAGCACCCCGGCCGAAATTCGCGAACTAGTGCACCACATGCTACTGCTGTAGGTCGTTTCCGCTGGCCGCCATCATAGCCCGCGCACTCTGGCATCGGAGCACTTCTTCGGCACTCCTGCCAACACCTTCCCAACAATACTTTCAAGGTTCGTGCGCCCCAAGTCGAAAAAACACGCCTCATTCATGACAAAAGATGAGGAACGAGGCACCTTGCTTCTCCCTTGACTTGCTTTGAGTATAAACAATAAAAAATGGGCACTCTCTTACCATGGAGCTCGTCGTGTTGTGACGAGTGATGAACGGCGTGTCATCGACGTTCCAGGGAGAGCGAAGAAGCCCGTAAGGGTTGTGAACGGAGTCCCACGCATCCTGAAGAAAAAACGCCGAGAGCCGGGGAAGGTGGTATCGGATAAACACGAGAAGAGTAGCTGCCGTAGCAACGGTGCTCGTTCACACAACTGCTCAGCCGTGGGTGGCCTCTCATCTCAGAAACCGACATCGTCGTTGGCTGGTGTGGACGAAAGCGCATCCTACTTTAGCTAAGAACAGGATATACGGCAAACGTGGGAGGGTCTTGGCTTGCCCGAAGAGTCCAAAAAAGGCGTGAAAACCCCGCCACCCATTCAGTAGTCGCACAATCAAAATCAAACGCCATCTTCACGACGACCTTCTGAACGGACCGAGCGTCTTCGCCCAGAGAACAACACCCACCCCCCACACTCCCACAGGCGTTACTGGTTTGGCTCATCGAAACTCCACAATAACCACGAGTCAGTGCCGAACGACCGAGTCCACTGGGAAAGCTCTCTACTTTAACTGCTGTGGCGAGTGAGGCTCCAACCCCCTTTCGCGGCTTGAGCCTAACCCGCCGAACGACCGAGTCCACTGGGAAAGCTCTCTACTTTAACTGCTGTGGCGAGTGAGGCTCCAACCCCCTTTCGCGGCTTGAGCCTAACCCTTCCTGTCGTGGGTGGCAGCCCAAGTTGTGTGTCGGTGCGATACTTGACACACCCCATGTCACAGGCAGTTCGTTCTTGCCTACAGGGCGGGGACCCCCAGTTCTGTAAAGAAAGGCTTACCCATCAGACAAAACTTAAGTCAGTAGCCTTTTCTCAACACGTTGTCACAGTCGAGCGAGCGTGACGGGCGCGCTCGGAACAAAAAAAAAATCCTTCGGAAGTACTTACTGCAGGTTTTTCGCAGACACTCGAGAGACAACCAGAGGTGGGATCTACACATTGGAAGACATGAAAAAGGAAAATACCCACTATATGCCCCCCTCCCCCACAGAAAGAAACGAAGCGTGGTACGACCGCGTTCTGGAAGGGCACCATGTTGGAATACTCAATGTCACTCATTAGTATATACTGCTGTAAACAACAGTAAGTAGGTGTTCACCGAAGGAGTATTACCGGAATATTCTTCGGTATGTTGATTCAGTAATCGGATCATTGTACACACCTACGGGTTATACATTGAACCATAGCCATAGAAGTATGGTACATCAGACCATTGTCCTAAAGGATATTCTAGTAACGTTGCCATAGGTCGGAGTGACCCGTCTATTACCGTGATCGGTACGTTGCAATAGCCCGTGTGTGTTTCCTTTCCGTGATGACGGTGGATGGCTCGCCCCCGTGGTGCTCGCCCCCACTAGCTCATTTCTTCTTCTTCTATTTCTTCTCTCTTCTCACCTTTCGGCCAACGAAGCGCCAATCAATACAACCATATCATCTGGTCTACAACACAAGTGTACTTTACAGTCACTCTGTGAGCCTCTGCACACTGTTGCTACACAGTGGCCATTGCCAGGGATACACCTATCACAAAGGTTACATCCCAACACACCAAAACGAACCGACGGCGCGACATACAAAAAACCGGAAATAATCGTTTTAGAGAGAGACGCAGGATCGCACCCGTTGAACCCGGAGGAACGCCCAGCGCCCCTTCGTCATCGTGTGGAAGTCGTTACTCGGGGAGAACTCCCCGAACCAATCGTCGTCGAAGACCATGGAGTCTCCGTAAGAGTCGAGGTCTTCCGTGGCTGCCAATAAGCGAGCAAGGCGACAACGATACGATAGTGATGCTTCACGGTGACTGCGGGAAGGGGACAGGGGAGACAACGCCGCGTACTTGGCCGATCGCACGGTAAAGCTCTCTGGTGACGTGTGTCGATAGCAGTTGCGAGGAATAATCGCCTAGCTAAAATCAAAGAAGGGAGAGACGACGCACCAATACGAGGCAGCCCGGTGAGACCACGAACATGAGCCTTTGACAAGAGCTACTGTAAAATCTGGAGAAAACATACCATCACTCCTTAGAGCTGTCTACACCCAAAAAAAGGCCGAAAATGCCGGAATTTGATGGATTTTGATTTCCAAGTTTCAGAGGTTATGTATGCGGAACACGGCCGGCCCGATCATCCACGAGATCGAAAGTCGCCCAACAGAGGCCAACCAACGTCCATGTTTGGTTCTACATCAATGAAACGGGCTAAACTTAAACGTGCGCATAACGCGCGCCGAAAGAAACCGGATCAGACCCCACAACCTCCAGGTCTACGCTTCATTTCTGACGTCAACAGCACGTCCATGGACGAGGACTAAAGAGTTTTCAATAGGGTAACCAGCGTCGCGCCCTTTTGACACCTTCAATGGAGTATTCCCAGTAGGGGATGGTCACCGAGGGGTCCACCAGCTGCATGGCCTGCTCGAACTGCAGGGTGAATCCCACGTGGTGAGTCATGATGCCTGCCGAAAGTGCGTCGTACACAGGGATGGGCGCAGGGGATCGGTTTTGGCGATGGCGTGCCCATGCTTCTGCAAGGTGGTACAATAGGCGTTGGGATTTTCCTCCCAATTCGCGACTGCATGCGACACTCATGGCAAAATCAGCGGAAAGCAGAATGCCAACCGATGTAGTCGTTTTGGCCGACAATGCTTGTCGCACGTCATGGATCGTGGTCCCTTCACGCAAGCACGACAGAGAGGAGACATCACAGTGCGAGCGCGGGAGACAGTACAGTGTACGAGCAGTGGCATTGCTCGGCAGCATCAGAGCTTGCTGCATGCTGGGTCCAAACACATGGTAAGGCAATTCGGAGTTAGGGAGCTTGTCGGACACAGCGAACGCGTGCCACGAATTTCAAATGCACGTGCAGATGGACGCATTGTAGTCAAGGCTTGAAGCTGTTGAGAGTTTCTACGCTCCGCTCACCGGCGTCGTCGTGCCAGTGGTCACAGTCCTTCACACCAGCACCGTCCAGGTGCAGCTGCACGAAATAATCGATGCCCTGTGTTTTTGAGCGCCATAGCAGAACGGCAATGCGGGAACGATACTCAACAGGTGGAGCATTAAATATTAAGACGTTGTAGACACGCGGGCGGCAGAGAACACAGAGCGCTGCGCTTACCGCTCCCAAGTCTCAAGCCTCACGCTTGGACCTTAACACGGACGTCAGTTTCCTACGAAACCAGGTGAGAACTTCTATATACATGCTGGGGCACGAAAGACGCAAAATTGCGGTTGAGGTGCACACAACCCTTATACAGCTGAATATTGAGAGATAACTTTTGAGTGTTCGTCGCGGACGGACGTCAAGAACAAACCGGACATCGTTACCAGGTAAGCAAAGAACAGACACTTGTAGGACCCGCCCTACCCGTGAAAAACTGTTTATGGTATGCATTACACCGGCCACGAGGAGCCCGGGCTCCATGCAACACTGGTGTTCTGACATAAAACATTGGCACGCCTCGCTCGCTTCTTTGCCGTGTGCGCACAGCGCTCTGCTCGCGATTTCCCGAGCGTCGTGAAACCACAGTTGGCGTGATAGGAGATGAACGTAAATAAATGCATGCTGAGCTGCAACGCGAGGTCTTCTCTCCACGACCGAGCACAAAAAGGCAGGGCGGCGCTACTGAGCAGATGGCTAACCTTGTAGTCGGCCCCGAACTGCTGGACCCCTTCCGATGTCGGCAGTCGGTAGAGAGTCTCCAAGGCATCGAAAAAGGCAACTCGATCGGAGCTGTGCAGGGTGCGGATCTCCCGCCGCACGTACTGCCCACGGCAGCAGTAGTCGCGCGGACGGGGTGCGACAAAACGGGCAACAAATTAATTGCGAACAATCATCTACGTGGGCTCGAAAGGTCCCGACATACACATACAGACAGTTAGCGCCCGCGATCAAGAAACACAATTTTTGGGTCTAGGCTCAACTTCGTACTTCGTCACCACCGTCGAGCATAGATAGGTCGTAAGACATGGTTTATTGGGGTGATTCTCAGTCGATTTTCTTTCGTAAGCAAGCATGTATGTATTTATCGCCCAAATCTGAGCACTTGTTTCTCGAAGGTTTGTTTCTTACAGTAGTCGCGGGCGCTACACTCTGTATGCGACAAGGCACTTTACGCACTTCATCTTACAGGCTACAACGTGGTTGTGATTTGGGAGTCTGTCCGATGCGATTCGAGCAACCTACAGTACCCGGTCGCCCCGGTGGTCTAGTGGGTAGTACCCTCACACCCTACTAAGGGCCAGGTCACGGGTTCGAGTCCAGGCAAAGTGAGTTATTTTTCTCACTAAATAAATCCTGGTCTAAGTTGGAAGCGACGCACTGCAAAGCTCGTTGTTAGTATAACTAGATCGACTTCATAAGTCGCGAGGGAAGGGATTGCGGTACCCTTCTCGCGATAAGAGTATCTCAGGCAGGAACCGCAGGAGGGGGTCCAACCCCCCCCTCCTATGTGACCCTTGTTGGGTCATCGAGCTAGTAGAAGTGGAGGATGGGGGCCAAAGGGACACGACAGAGTCCAATGATGTGAGAAAAAAAAAAAAGTAGGCTTAGCGACGGGGGTAGACAGCGCTGCGGCACGGATTAATATATAGATATTGTGCAAACTCTAGCAACTATATAAGTCTCCTAAAAACCGAAAAATGCTTAATTACTTGAGATTGTATGGATTAAATAAATTTGCCAGAGCGGTGGCAAATGTGATAGGATTCGTAGAAGAACTGTTCCTCCGTACACGATTTCACTCATACAGAAGCCGGGCTGCACTGACTGACACCGGCACCAAAGCTATTCGTTGTTTTTTTGCTGTTGAGAAAGGAGTTTTTCACAAAAAATTGTATCGAAGAGTGGGCCGCGTGTGTGCTAGGGGACAGAATCATGTCCGTGAGCTAACCCGCCTTGAGGTCGATTCCCCCAACATTTGGCGATTTTTGCAAATGGCCATAGAGCGTCGACCGCAAGGCGCTTGCGCCCGAAATATTGATCTTGCCTCCATATCGTCTCCCCAAAACCAAAAGCATTCCCCAAACCAAAAACAAATAATTAATTAAATAAACACACCCCATATATATATTGTGATAGTTTTTGTTTCGGTTTGATGCCGTTTTTGTCGGGGCATGCGTTCTTCGCTGACGTCGTGAAATCCAACCACGTACGTACACGCCACGACCAATATACCGTAAGATTCCGGTTGAACACTCTGTAGGCTCAAAACAAAACAACTTTCCGCACATAACCAAGAACCGATGCTCCTGTAAGGAGTCCAATGCCAAAACCTGTGTATGAGGTCCACCGGAAAAAAAGTAAGTAGATGTTCATATTCATACATCTACATAATACCCTTCGAAGGAGTATTTAGCTCGATGCGTCCATAGTCTAGAGCTGATCCCACATGTAGTCCAACTTTGCACTCAAGGATAAATGTTACGTGAAGAGCCTTGGCAAAGGGCGGTAGAGAACGCAACACGACTGTTGTGTACCTGTGATTACCTGTGAAATAAACTTTCAATTAAACTTTCACGATATATCGTGGGTTGGTACCGGCAGCTACATAAATAGCGGGACATACATGTACTCCTCGCATGTATGCACATGTACTGCTGTGTTAGCACCTTCGAACGCGCACGAATGGTGTGCTCTCTCTCACCTTGACCATGATGTATGTGTGGAGGGTGTGACGCTCGCCCGTAGAAGTCACGGTCTGGGTGAGCATGATGTCCTTTCGACCCGGCTCGGTGAAGGTGAACTCGATTTCCCTGTTTGTGGCACACAAAAGTATTCCCGTGTTTCGCACAGTCTACAGCAGTCGCAACGACCGCCCCACCACATATTGTGCACATTGAACATCGATGTATCGACCAGCCGAGCATCCTCTTCGATGTGATAACTACTGCATGCATGTATGTACAGCAGTACTGCTGTAGTCTGCCACAGAGCTCTTGAGTTGAAAAAGGCCGCAAGGTGGTGTGTTGCTATTAGTAGAGGCTAAAGAGTGTATACGACTACAACTTCCCCCAGCTTGTGAACGCGGTGCTACTTGTCGGGAACCATGGGTACTTTTCAGGATATATCCTTTTTTTGTGGACTTGTATTCTCTCGCCGTTGGCCGCGTATACCCCTGAACAAGTACTGCTGCTGTATGTCGAGACGATAGTTTGCGCCTCGTCAAACCATGTAGTCTTCTATAGTCTACATACATACCTGCCCTGCACCGATGCCCCATTCTCGTTCGGTAGCGTCCACAAGAAGACGTCGTTATCGGGATTCCCAACTTCTGAATCCGCGCGCAGGACGGTGGCTCGGTGCGGCTCGGCCAAGTGTGCCCAGGGCGACCATGCGATATCCGGATAGTCGTTTGTAGCCGTAAGGGATAGGACGGAAGTCTCTTCGTCGCGGACCTGTGCGTGCGGTGACGTGTTATCCTCCTCACCGCCCGATGGTGAGGCACCTGTTGATGGCGCGCTCGCCGTCCCTCCGCCGGAAGCTCGTCCTCGCTGCTCCTCCTCCTGCCGCTGTTGAGGGACGTCACGGTGATCACGGTGGTCGTTGCCGAGACCGAATGTTGGAAGGGCGACTACCGATGATGGGAATGGCTTCGGAGTTGCGCCACAGATGAGTAGCAGACCCACGACACTCCGCATGGTCATCACCATGTATGAATCTCTGCTGAGAGCAGTCCTGGTGCAACACGCCAGCAACGAAGGATGGATCCGCGTGCAGTAAGTAACGAAGGTGTTTTGGAATTGTGCGATGGATGGGTTCTCTTTTGCGTGACAGGACGGCAGTGCGGGGTTGCGGGGTTTTCGAGTTTGGGGCGGGACAGCCGAGTAAATTTGTCCGATGCATTACGGAATTAAAAAAAAAAAACACAAACACAGAAAGACTACCCATTCGACATACATAACAGCACAGCAGACAGCAGACAACCAAATCGAAGACACACTTTGCCACATCTTTTCGGAAGAAGAGACTTCTCGTAAGCTTTCTCCTACAACTCAAGGAAAAATAAATACACGCACAGAAAGACTATACCATTCGATAACCCACAGCAGTCGAACACAACTTGCCACGATACTCAGAAGCAGAAGCTCATCAGAAGCTTTGATCGGGCCGCATCCCCAACTGCCAGAAACCAGAAGAAACACAAAAATTCACAAAATCACAGCGGGGCGGGGGACGGAGACAACCGTCTACAGCTGACATCACCAACCGCCAACACCCCCAAAACCCTCAAGCTTCATGTACTGCTCCTACACTGCAGCATGATGACGCAGGTTTGGGAGCTGGGTACAGAGTAGATCAATTCGGAGAGATAGCTACCATGCTGCAAGTGTGGTGTTGCACAACCACTCAAACGAAACAGGTAGGTGTACATGTAGTAGTGCGGTCTGTGGGGTACCGAGAGTTTCAACCCCGTATCACAAGAGTCTCGCCTGCAGTCCTCGGCCGGGACAGCGCCTCTCTACCTTTCTTCCTTTACCACGATAGCTCGACGCTATGCCATGCATGTATGTCCTCGGCCGGGAAAGCGCCTCTCTCTCTGCCTCTCTCTGTCTCCCTCTGTCTCGCCGGGCTGCCCTCTCCGGTCGGCCGCCTGATTCGTTTGTGGTTCGCACACGCATTTTCGAAGAAATAGTTCACGCACGAAAAGTTCCGCTGGCCCCATCATGTCCATGTGTCCATGAGAACTGCGTGCAACGGATATATCTACAAGTGCTAGATAGGACCATGGTGGAGAGCTACTGTATCCCCTAGCCAATACAGCAGCCAGCGGCGCTGACTTTGGTCACACAACTGTGTAGTCTGGAGAACATCTTGTATACGTCTTGCAAGGCTACAACAGCGGCACGGTTGTTCTTCCGAGAGAAAATTCCTGGAAATTTCTTCCAGGTCACCGAAGAGTGGTGGTACGCATATGCACCTCTTGATCACAGGTGCACGCTAACCTAAGCATACTGAGTAGCTTTGAAATCATACACCATCTGTTTGCGGCCTTGCCACACATGTATTGACTGATATTTGTGTCGGCGATGTATCATCTCGTTACAAATGAAGAACAATTCAAAATCAATATCCGTGGTTCTTCACGCAAGCAAGTGACTAATAGGACGCCTCGGATGTTGTGGACCGCCTAAGCAGGATTCTAAGATCTAGATGTTGTTGTTTTCACACCGTTCCGTCCGAGTGACGACGACGCGGTTTAATGAAAAAATTGCAATAATACGGTAGATGTTGTTGTTGTTGTTGTTGTTGTTGTTGTCTTCACATTAAAACCGTTGCGTTCTCTCTACCCATTACCTTCTGCTGTCCGTACTACATAGGCTAACACTTGACGCGGTCGATTTCTCTGTGGTCACAGACTAACATACCCAAGAGACGTATACTAAGAAAATAAAATGGACCCGAAGGGTACGCAAGTCAATAGAAATCAACGACAGATAGTCTATGTAGACACTCCGTTCGCCTCTACACGCTATGCGAGGTGGCAAAAGACTGGAAAATAGAAAGAGAAAGAAAAAGAAAAAGAAAAAGAGCAGCTGGGGAAAAGGGGAAGAGAAAGAGTAAGACACAGAGAAAGACACACGCCAGAGTCACTACCGAAGCGACAAACAAACAAAAGAACAGAGCAACACCAGACAGCACAAAGCAACACAAGGCGGGCCACATGAGACAGCAAATGCACGTCATCGTCCGTTGGGGGTTGGTTTGTGCAATGGTGCAGTGCCGCGGGGGGGGGATAAGTCAATCAAGGGGTTCAATCCAGCACCACAGCATTTCGCGCCCCTCGGTCCGCCTCTTCGCGTTTCCTGTTTTTCCTCGCCGTCTCGTCCGTCTGCTGCACCCCTCTCGCCCCAGTGGTTGTTGCCGTGTCCGTGCTGTTGCCGGGCTTCTTGTTTCGTTTGAGCGCTCGTTGTCGATATATGGAAGGGAAACCCGACGTCCGGGCAAAACCTGAAGAAACCCTACCACCACAAAAACCGCTGCAAACACGGCGGATGTACAACGGCCAAGGGGAAGACAAGAACACCAGAGATCGCGAAGAACAATGTTCCCCCGGACGAAAGTCTCCCAACGCCCCCTACTCCTGCCATAGGTACACAGACCGCGACAGTAAAGCGAGATGGCATTGTCTTTCCCCGTATGGTATACATGACCCCTGCCAAGTGCTAAAATTGCTACAGCTACTCCGGCAAATTCATCAACTCTCGCCGGTGGTACTGCAGACTGGCCCCTGCTGAGGGTCTTGGTCAGGAGGTCTACGTGTTGCTCCGTTGTCGTAAAGAACTTGACCGAAATATCTGCCGATCTAAACAACGAGAACGTCGACACCCACATCATGCTGTCGATGGCCTCCCTAACCGGCCTCTCCCCTCTCTCTTCGCCATCTCGCTTCGGTCCTATGGGGGATTGGGTACACTCAGCTCCAGTGACGCCAGGGCTGTCGCGAAGGCGTCTGTCGAGTTGAGCATCAGGTCCTCCGCGCCCAGCAGGAAGTCCTCCGCCTCTTGGCGCGCGGAGTAGGCCTCCTCCGCGCGCTCGTACAGCAGCTCTCGCACCACCTTCGCCTCCAGCCCTTCCGCCACGTGAAGTACCGCCGAGAGCATCCAACGGGTGAGCTTCTCCGTGCTGTTGATGGGCAGGCTCGCCACCGAGGCGAACAGGGCTTCGACACTTGTCGGCGACGGCGGCGACGGTGACTCATACCTCGGGTTTCGGTGACGGTTCTACCTGGTGCGACGGCTGGTGAGTTCGACCGGCTTGTCGAAGCGGGCGAGCATCCGGGCCTCTGGCCCACGGAGCGCCGGGAGATCCGTCTCGCTGTCGCTGTCGCTGTTGCTGCTGCTGCCGCTGCCGCTGTCGCTGCCGCTGCCGCTGTCGCTGTCGCTGTCGCTGTCGCTGCTGCTGCTGCTGCGGCGGTCGTCCTCGCCGTCGCCCACATCGGCCATGCCGGCCGACGTGGTAGACGGGGCGATGCTCGCACCCTCCCTGGTCAAGGGGGCGCCATCGCCTGCGTCGCCCGTTCCCGACTCCTGGGGCGCGGCCGGCGCCGGCGCCGGCGCATTGCGCGCGGGCGGCCCCGCGGCCTCCGGGGCTGCCGTCGTGCCAAGGTTGAAACTTGGTCCTCCATCCACAAGTTCTCCCTCCGCCCTCCCTCCACCTTGGCCCGACGCGCCCTCCCCGACCTCGTCAACTCCAGTCACGAGCTCCTCTTCCTCCTCTGCGATGGGTGGCAGCGACTGGAGCAGTGTGGTGGGGGCGGCGGGTACGGGTTGCCAGGTGAGGTTGCGAGTGGTGATCGCTTGGCGTTTTTCGTTCAGGGTGCACACGCAATCACGGTTGTGGTTAATTTCCGGGCCGAGGTAGCAACACTTTTGGGTTTTCGGCTCGGACTTGTGTGTGCGCTTGACCGTGCGTACGGCGGGTTTGAGGAACGGGTACGTCACCCCCGGCGCGGGCGGGTGCCCGTGACACATCTCGTACGGCGATTTCTTCTCTTGGTTGGATGTGGTAGAGGTGCAGTTCAGGGCTGGCCTCGGCCCAAAGGGAGGGGCAGTTCGGTGCTCCGGGGAAAAGAGTTGGCGCTTGGATACGGGCGGCTAGTGCTGCACCCTTGATCAGACCCAGTGCTCTCTCAGCTACACCGTTGTATTCTGGGCTGTGTGCAGGGGTGAACTCCTATTTGATGCAGTACTTCCGGCACACCCTTCCGAGCTCTCCCTGAAAAACCTCTCCTCCGTTGTCAGATCTCATGACCATGACCTCGGACGGGGCGCCGTCTGCCCGGTTTTGTGCTAGGTACCTCTCGAATGCCTCAGCGGCGTCTGACTTGTGTTTCAAGAAATAGACGCGGTTCCACCTTGTGTAGTCGTCTTTGACAATGACAATGAGAGTGTACCACTTCCACCCAAGCTCTGCACCTTGCTTTCTCATTCAAATCCACAAAAAATCGCTGCAGTTTCTTATCTGCCTGGGTCGACGTCTTGTTGGGGATGGGCTTGGAAAGCCCCTTCGCCGTCGAGCACCCCAGGCACTCCCGGAGCTCGCCCACCCGCGTCGTCCCTTGCTGCCTCGCCGTGTTCTTCAGCAGCACCTCGCTCGTTGGAGTGACCGTGGGCGCAGTGAAAGCCGTTGATGTCAACGGGGGTGCTGGGCGCTTTCGCGTTGCCAGGAGCAATTATGGCACAGGCTTGTTCGGAGTGTGTACAGAAACCGTTCTGGACGTACAGGTAAACTCACCGAGGGAAGTACACCGACTTCCCTTCCTCTCTCTCCAACTCTAACTGTTTGTTGACGGTTTTGGTTTCGAATCAGTCGTCGAAGAGGGACGTGAGAAACACTAGATAGTAGTGCAATCGAGAACGTGTGCTACCCGTTTCAACAACAGGTCGGTGGTCCCTTCGCTCGAGCTGACGGTTACCACTACGTCGCCGTACCCTACGATAGGGAAGTTTTCTCCGGCGGCGAGCGCACACGTCGATCACACTCCTCGTAACGAACGAAAACATCAGAGTTCGCGAACACCTGGGTGGTAGCTCTGGTATCGGCAACATACCTCCCCCGCCTGGCCTGCTCTACACCCCCTCGACCAACGACTCTGTTACACTCGCCTGCGAATTCACCGACCACCAGCGCCTCTTCTGCCACGTTCAGT